ATTTCTGTTTCTTTTTTCTGTTCTTTCCCCCCCCCCCCGTACATATGATTAATATTACGTATTAATAATAATTCATAATTCCCCTGACCTTCCCCCCGTTCCTCGTTCCCGCATTCCCCGTTCTCCCATTCCCCGTTCCCCCATTCCCCGTTCCCCCATTTCCCCATTGCCCGTTCCCCCATTCCACGTTTTTCGACAGAGAAGACGATCTTTTTGCCTGTATTCAATCTACAAACACTAAAAACAAGTTTACTACTCGTATTTTACTCGTATGTACTCGTATTCTACTCGTATGTACTCGTATGTACTTGTGTTTTACTCGTATGTACTCGTGTGTGACTCGTATGTACTCGTATGTTACTCGTATGTACTCGTATGTTACTCGTATGTACTCGTGTGGTGTTTTAGTCACGATCGTCTAGACGGCCTGGCGTCAAGGATAATGATTGGATAATATTTTTAGAATATGATGCATTAAGCCATTATACATTTTTTGCATTCTTTATCCGAACCAGGAATCGCTAACAAATTCACCAGAGGTTTTTCCTTTTTCTTCGCGTGTTTTCTCGCATTTCGCGTTCGCCAAACCTAAAAAAAACTCTGGGCCAAGGTACTAGTTAACCTATTGTGCCGGAATGCGCCCCAGTGCGCCCTACTTAATCGTTTTTGCTTGCCTAACGCCAGACGATGTTACTCGTCAATGGGGAAGCTCTGCAACTTAATGGGTTAACCAGAGTCTTTCTTAAATGAAAGGAAATCAATGTCTTGACAGTACAGTAGATCTTATAATTTGAATCACATATTTTGTCCAACTATAAAACAAATGGTATCATCTGATCTGTTTGAACTATCATGCATGATATATTAATTACAAGAGGCAGTTAATAAAGGCTTTTTTTACTGTGGCTAAAATTATATGTTAATTCAGTAATAATAAATAATTCAACTCTTTATACCTGTTTACCACATCCACCTTCAATTAATAAAACTGTGTTGATGCGTTGAAACAAACTAAGTTCATGCCATCGAATGTTCATAATGATTGAGTAAATAAAGCAATATTTAACTTTCAACTCATCTGTTGTGTTTTTAATGTTAATTTCTTTTCCTGTCATAGCATTTAACATGTCAATAAGAAATGGATGATGTGTTATCATTTCTTTCCACAATAGGTCAATGCTAAAATCCTTCATAATCGTATACTGTTCCATACTTGCATACAACACTGATGAATGACTGGATCGTTTGCAAAGTGCATCAGAAGACACTTTACATTTATGCAAAATGTTCCTTTTTATTGCAACTTCAACAGATGGACAGGCTTCTGTTACTATATCTGCAACAGCAGAAGGTATTCTTGTCCTTGATGCTCGTTCCAATTTTGCTTGCTGAACTGATGTGATGGGTGTTGTGACATATGTATTAAAATGGGAAACATATACTGAGGAAGGATGAAGTGGTAGGACTGATGAAGGTTGAGGCTCCGTATGTGATTGGCGGCTTGGTATAATAGTCCGCACAGAAACATAATGCACAGATGGTGTCTGTGGTTTACTACTATGATCAATGTTCATCTGAGTTCTATATTGCATGTCTTGTAAGTGATCAATTTTATCAAAACCAAGTGTCCTTCTTGTGTTGTTATCATCATTTGACACAAAAGCATTGCGCTTTGCAGGCTGTTTGCAAGCAGCAGGTGAGGTTGCAATTCCACGTTTAACACTAAATTGTTGTCTCAGTGTTATTTGAACTCCTTGAATTTGTTGTCTGAATTCCCACATCTTATTTACAAAGTTTCCACATTTTCGAAAAATGACTGTTGGAAGATAATCTGTCTCAGCTATGACTATGGCACATGTTTGCAACACCTTTCGTTGCCAATCCTTTTGTATTCCTGAGTTTGAGAAAACTCTTGCAAGATAGCGTGTATCTGTAATGTTTCCACATAGTCTGCATTGATCACCTTGTGATCGCAGATTTTGTTCTTTTGTTTTACAAATTTTATAAAACTATAGAAGATGAATTAATTAAATATGATTTGTGACTATATCGATCTGAAACTGCCGATTTATATAGTTTTTGCTTACCGCTAGGTTTCTACTAAAAGAGGATTGTGCATTGTATGTCATATTTTGGACAAAAGCATAAACATAAATAGCTGCATGCAGTCCTTATCAGGCAGCCACTCCTTAAATATTTTAAGATATGCCCCAAATTTGGATATTTATGTAATGTATCATATATCTTTAGTTATTGACATGGGAGCATCATTATCATTGGACATTAATTTGTAACGTATTTATACCTTAATGGCCTGGGAACATCACCTTCACAAATTATTAACACATTAAAGTTCTTCTTGATTCATGAGAGCAATGCTTCCACAGGACAACTTGGATTTGTATTTATATAAACTTAAGGTATTAATTGTAAACGAAATAACCTGAATTAATTACATGTAGCACATCATTTTTGTAGGGGTTTTCCCTAAATTGTCATGATTATCACCAATCTTTCTTAAAAAATTTCCTTTCAAAATTGTTAATTTATAAATTGTCTTGGACATACCCATGTCCCAAATGCCCATGGTTGTATGGTTAAATCAAATGGTTGATTTGTAGCAATGAGTAACATACACTGGAAAAAATGTGAAATCCATAATATGAAATTTGCAATTGCACCACTAAATCCATAGTTTATCCATACTATTTTTATAATATATCCATAATATGGAATTATATACAATTTAATATTATGGATAATCAAAATTTATTCTATTTCCAATGAAGGTCCATACAATTTCCCTTCTATGGATTTTCAATTTTTTTTCAGTGATACAATAAGAATATTTTATGTGACAACTCAGAGCATACTGTATTAATACGTTGACATAGGTCATTGTACTAATGTGAATAACATTCATGTTCAGCTGTCCGAACACATGATGTGAATTTCTAAATTTACACATGATGTTTCATCCATAAAATGACAAAGACCATCAGTATAAAAATATATAGTTAATACCACTTTGTTCCTTTGTTTATACTGTCAGACGTGTTATCTTTTCTTTATAGCTATTTGATCATTATGAGTTCTGTCGCTGCAATTAAACATGCAACGTGTTCACTTTATAGAAATCGAGTACATCGTCTACTGCCAAGTGCCAATCAGCGCAATGTGACCGGTTTGTTTCAGTTTGGGTGCTGACTATAGTAGACCTGATACACCCAGTAATCAGTGTTAAGAAGCCAAACTGTTTGTATCGTGTTGTCTGTTTCACATACATTTATCTTGCACATAGTTAAATAACTATGTTTTGTATCTTTGTGACATTCGTTTATGAGGCCCCGTTTACACTATACCGGATTGCATCGGAGCGTAGCGATTTTCATACCGGATTCGGCTGCTGTTTACACTACGCCACAGTAATCCGGTACGCGACGCGGAGCAAAATCACTCTGCTTTGGAGGTGATATGAAAAGTAATCCGGTATGTGCCGGAGCAGTGTAAACAGGCTAAAGCCCAGGTCACACTACACAACGATAACGATACGATAACTTGTATACGCGCGCTGATTGGTCAAAAATTTATCGTTATCGTCCGACTGAAAAAAAAATCGCTCAGGTGAGCGATTTTAAAATCGTTATCGTCTAACGATAATTTTACCATTTTCGTTGTTGTGTGGACACTAATACAATTTTTTTGACAATTATCGCGTGTTTACAATTTATCGTATCGTTATCGTTGTGTAGTGTGACCGGGCCTTAATCCGGTACGCTTCGGTACAAAATCGGTTTTGGCGTGTATGTTTTAACATTGTCGCCTTTATTTGCTCGCTTTTACGATACTTTATAGCTGTTGTTTGTTTCGCCTTGCAGCCATTTACTATTTCTGCCGAATACAAGTAAAGAAAACGATAATAACATTGATTTTCGCTTTCGAAAGAGCAAAATTTAAAGAAATACTCTGAAATTTTGGATTAGAGCGAAACGAAGCAACGTCTGGTAATCAAGCTTTTTAAACAAAGTTATACTTCACAAAGAAAACGGGTGTTACTTCTTGTTTTTAATAAATTTTGGTATATTGGCTACTTGTTTCCATGGCGACAGTGAAAGACATGTGCTGGCAACAGAGCGAAGCGGCAAAGTGTAAACACCCTTGATTTTTTACTTCGGAGTAAAAATTAATCCGGTATGGAAAGTAATCCGGTATAGTGTAAACGGGGCCTAAATATCAATCAAATACAAATACTTGTACCAGGCATGATGTATCAAATTTCCATATCAGTATTTATAATAAGTTCAGCTCTGATTAGGGAGTGGTCATTATTTATGGGAGGGAGGGGCAAACGAAGTTTTACCCCTATAAATAGGGGGGGTCAAAAAAGTTTTAACACAGAGAAAGGGGGGGGTCATAAAAGTTTTTGAACTTAAATACCATGTCTAGAGTTCTGATTTCTATAATCACAAATAGCAAAAAAGAAGACTCTGAAAATGCTATTTCTAACGATCTAGAGACTCAAATTTTCAAAATTTCCCTGCTCGGCGCCAACCATGGTAGCGCCTCGCGATCGTGGGAGTCCGACCCATTAAGTTTAACAAGCTTTCTACCCCTGAGTGACCCAGTTGTGGTATTTACATAAACATACCACGCATGTACACTTAACTGATCAGATTCGGTCTATCAACGCACAATGTAACGCTGTATATCCAAAAATCTGTTTCAGAAAATGCTCACATTTCAGTTCTAGGGGTGGAAAAATACAAAAAATTTTCTAGGGGAGAATACCCCCAGACCCCCAACTTGTCCATACGATATCACAGCAAACTTTTTGTCACCAACAACCATCTGTCATCTCTCCATACTCAATATAGTATGGTCCCCTTTTGTAGATGCCCACCCCCAGACAAGTTCTTAAAAAACCCTGTGTTCAAATCATTTCCCTGCATGAAGACAGGTCATGGGTTAGGGTTATGGTAGGCCAAATGTTGCATTGCAAAGTAGTAACACATAATATATATTTTTTAATCATATATGGTTGAATCATATTCACCAGAGTAAAACAGCATGAGCTAGATTAAACAGATTGTCCGGCTAATATCTGCAACGCACACCTGTTTCATTGCTGTTAATTTTTCAATCCACATTGGGGGTGGGGGTCAGAAAAGTTTCTACTTTTATGAGGGGGGGGGGGCACAAAAAGTTTGCCTTCATTCTGGAGGGGGGGTCAAAAAAGTTTTCAATCCTTATTTTCTCCATTTCCCAACACCCCCCCCCCCTCCCCATAAATAATGACCACTCCCTTAATACGTCTTTTAAATAATACATGTGATGTCATCAGAACAGCATGTGTCCAATTATATAAATAGATAAATAAGCATACAAATATGTTTAAATTGCTGCTTACCTTCAATAAAAGCCATGTTTGAACGAAAAATCTGCAATATTAACTTCGAAAATTTTGAGATTTCATTATTGAAATACAAATCGCTCCTTGTTGAATTGAAATTACATGGAATAAATTATTATCACGCGAATTAATTTGGCTTGACGGCTAACCAATCATGTTGCATAACTGACCGGCCGAGGCCAGGGCCATTTTCGCCGACGCCGTGGAGGTAAAATACGAGGTTGATCCTCTATATATCAACGCGAGTGGAAATTGTGTGAAAACACGACGCCCAAAGAAGTGTTTTATATTTGTTTTATAATATAGCACAAAGAAATATAAAGAAAGAAATTTTCCGACGTTTCCGTGTTGACATTGAGTTATATCAACACGGCTCTTAGACAATCAGCGTCCAGAATTTACAAATACTATATTATAAACAGAGTTATAACTAGTGTGCGACGGCCATGCAGTTGCAGCTCTGTATGTATAGGCCTAGTACGGCAAACGTCAAACCGGTAACGACGTTTTTGATTTTACAACTCCATTATAACAGCTTTTACACCAGTTTTGAAATATATTAAACAGTTATTAAACTTAAGTTCTTTGTACGTTTTATAAGTTATTAAACTTGTGGTATTTAACAATGATTCAAGAATACAAATTAACCACTAGTCATGTATTCACCAAAGCAGTAAATTAAGATCTGGGGCCGATTGTATATAAAAGGTGATTAAAGTTAACTATGGTTAAGTGCAAACGTCATCCAATAAGAAGCGCGTATTTGAGAGTTAATCACTATTTAACTACAAAATAGTGATTGAAAAAGTGATTAAGAGTTTTATACAACCGGCCCCTGGCGTTTGAAGTTGACGTTTGGCGTATAAATTTTATGCTTGAACTGTTATACGAGGGCTTGTAGTCGCTAAAGCATAAAATCTATACGCTAAACGTGAACTTCAAACGTTAAATCTTAATTTACTGCTTTGGTGAATACATGCCTAGTGGTTAATTTGTTTTCTTGAATCATTGTTAAATACCACAAGTTTAATAACTGTTTAATGTATTTCAAAACTGGTGTAAAAGCTGTTATAATAAAGTTGTAAAATCAAAAACTTCGTTACCGGTTTGCATGACGTTTGCCGTAAACGTCAATCTAAAACTCTCTAATATCTTATCTTACCGTGGCTGATACTTGTGCTCAGCCTCGAGATCTACTTCGGTATCATAGGCAAACTCGATATAAGGGACAACATCGCTAATATCATCAAATGACATATCGCCACCACTACGTAACTGATGTAGAATCTGTTGCATCCATGTTGTGCCGCATTTTGGTGGGGTCACGACGAACACGTCGTCTGAGCGAGGTTTAAAACTTAAACCACGACTTACTCCTTCCTCTGTTGTGAAGACAGACCTTCTCTGCATAAAGAGCTGCATCCCTGCACTTACATCAGAAGACATTCTCAGAAATATTACCGCGAAACCACAGAATGGCGAAACTCAACTGTCTCAACAGTCAACAGAAAATATGCAAGCTGATTAGCTGACAATCTCGTTCCCTCAGCATACCCGTTCGCAGGTTTGGGGTGGGCATAGCTCTGGAGAAATATCGAATTGATTCAGGCCTGTGATTGGCTAGCGGCAGATCGGTACGTTGGAAATCCAACGTGAGTTCGATGCATGCTTGGCAATTGTTGCAAAATATATAAACAAAGTATTTAGAATTTTTCGTCGAACATTTTTTACACTGAAGTCGATTGAAAACAACTAAAAATTCTGGGGGAAATATGTACCAAAGCTTCGGATTGATAGGGATACAACTACCTGAAAAATACAAGGAGAACTTCGACGTTTCGATGTAAGGCGCTTCGACTTGTACTGATAGTGTTCGTATACATCGTACTTGACCTCTACTGATAAATTGGTCATTCCATTTAATATAGGAACCCCCCCCCCTATTGAGGGGTCCCTTCATAATCCCCTTGGGATATAAAATTTTTAGAACCCCACTTGGATGCGATTTTTGGAAGTTACCCCATGGATTTCTTTATACTCCCTTTAGGATATCATTTTTACCCCCCTTGGATATCACTAAAGTCTAAAACACCTAATTTTTGCTATTTTTTGGAAAATTTCTTATGCTACCCTCTAGGAAAATTTAAGGTATAAACCCCCTCCCCCCATAGGATATTCAGACCCCTCAATAGGGGGGGGGCCTATATTAAATGGAATGGCCCAATATAATCTCCTCAAGAATGAGAGAAAGTTTGCTGTGAAATGTGGACCGGCGGTTGATGTTTTTAAAACTTGACTAAAGGTTTAAAGTGCATATGACATGAAATTTTTTATTTTCTTAAATGAAAGAACTGTTTAAGCTGTAAGGTAACTTGTTTTTCAGTTTCTTTGTTTTCTGCATTATTAACTTCGAAAGATTTGAGATTTCATTATTGAAATACAAATCGCTCCTTGTTGAATTGAAATTGCATGGAATAAATTATTATCACGCGAATTAATTTGGCTTGACGGCTAACCAATCATTTTGCATAACTGACCGGCCGAGGCCAGGGCCATTTTCGCCGACGCCGTGGAGATAAAATGCCCTGAGTACGAGGTTGATCCTCTACATATCAAAGCGAGTGGAAATTGTGTGAAAACCGACGCCCAAAAAAATGTTTTATATTTGTTTTATAATATAGCACAAAGAAATATAAAGAAAGAAATTTTCCGACGTTTCCGTGTTGACATTGAGTTATATCAACACGGCTCTTAGACAATCAGCGTTCAGAATTTACAAATACTATATTATAAACAGAGTTATAACTAGTGTACGACGGCCATGCAGTTGCAGCTCTGTATGTATAGGCCTACTACGGCAAACGTCAAACCGCTAACGACGTTTTGGTTTTACAACTCCATTATAACAGCTTTTACATCAGTTTTGAAATATATTAAACAGTTATTAAACTTAAGTTCTTGGTACGTTTTATAAGTTATTAAACTTGTGGTATTTAACAATGATTCAAGAATACAAATTAACCACTAGTCATGTATTCACCAAAGCAGTAAATTAAGATCTGGGGCCGATTGTATAAAAGGTGATTAAAGTTAACTATGGTTAAGTGCAAACGTCATCCAATAAGAAGCGCCTATTTGAGAGTTAATCACTATTTAACTACAAAATAGTGATTAAAAAAGTGATTAAGAGTTTTATACAACCGGCCCCTGGCGTTTGAAGTTGACGTTTGGCGTATAAATTTTATGCTTGAACTGTTGTTATACGAGGGCTTGTAGTCGTTAAAGCATAAAATCTATACGCCAATCGTGAACTTCAAACGTTAAATCTTAATTTACTGCTTTGGTGAATACATGCCTAGTGGTTAATTTGTTTTCTTGAATCATTGTTAAATACCACAAGTTTAATAACTGTTTAATATATTTCAAAACTGGTGTAAAAGCTGTTATAATAGAGTTGTAAAATCAAAAACTTCGTTACCGGTTTGACGTTTGCCGTAAACGTCAATCTAAAACTCTCTAATATCTTATCTTTCCGTGGCTGATACTTGTGCTCAGCCTCGAGATCTACTTCGGTATCATAGGCAAACTCGATATAAGGGACAACATCGCTAATATCATCAAATGACATATCGCCACCACTACGTAACTGATGTAGAATCTGTTGCATCCATGTTGTGCCGCATTTTGGTGGGGTCACGACGAACACGTCGTCTGAGCGAGGTTTAAAACTTAAACCACGACTTACTCCTTCCTCTGTTGTGAAGACAGACCTTCTCTGCATAAAGAGCTGCATCCCTGCACTTACATCAGAAGACATTCTCAGAAATATTACCGCGAAACCACAGAATGGCGAAACTCAACTGTCTCAACAGTCAACAGAAAATATGCAAGCTGATTAGCTGACAATCTCGTTCCCTCAGCATGCCCGTTCGCAGGTTTGGGGTGGACATAGCTCTGGAGAAATGGAATTGATTCAGGCCTGTGATTGGCTAGCGGCAGATCGGTACGTTGGAAATCCAACGTGAGTTCGATGCATGCTTGGCAATTGTTGCAAAATATATAAACAAAGTATTTAGAATTTTTCGTCGAAAATTTTTTACACTGAAATCGATTGAAAACAACTAAAAATTCTGGGGGAAATATGTACCAAAGCTTCGGATTGATAGGGATACAACTACCTGAAAAATACAGGGAGAACTTCGACGTTTCGATGTAAGGCGCTTCGACTTGTACTGATAGTGTTCGTATACATCGTACTTGACCTCTACTGATAAATTGGTCATTCCATTTAATATAGGAACCCCCTCCCCCCTATTGAGGGGTCCCTTCATAATCCCCTTGGGATATAAAAATTTTAGAACCCCACTTGGATGCGATTTTTGGAAGTTACCCCATGGATTTCTTTATACTCCCTTTAGGATATCATTTTTACCCCCGCCCCCCTTGCATATCACTAAAAGTCTAAAACACCTAATTTTTGCTATTTTTTTGAAAATTACTTATGTTACCCTCTAGGAAAATTTAAGGTATAAACCCCCTCCCCCCCCCTAGGATATTCAGACCCCTCAATAGGTGGGGGGGAGTGCCTATATTAAATGGAATGGCCTAATATAATCTCCTCAAGAATGAGAGAAAGTTTGCTGTGAAATGTGGACCTGCGGTTGATGTCTTTAAAACTTGGCTAAAGGTTTAAAGTGCATATGACATGAATTTTTTTATTTTCTTAAATGAAAGAACTCTTTAAGCTGTAAGGTAACTTATTTTTCAGTTTCTTTGTTTTTATGGTTTGTTCCCGAGATATTTCAATTTGATATTTAAATGAGTGTGAATATGTCCTCTAATTTATGACGTCATGTTGGTTGCAAGCTCTTCAAAATGGTTGAATATCACTGCTATCATCCAAGATGATAATTTCAAACTTCATTCACTGGTAAATGTGATGAAACACTGGAGAAAAACGTAAACTGATATCAACAGTCTTTAGAGTTAATACATTTATAACCAGTGTAAGTTGAGCTTGCAACCAACATGACGTCATAAATTAGCGGACATATTCACACTCATTTACATATCAAACAAATTGAAATATCTTGGGAACAAACCATAAAAACAAGAAACTGAAAAATAAGTTACACTACAACTTAAAGAGTTCTTTCATTTAAGAAAAGAAGAAAATTCATGTCATATGCACTTTAAATTTCCTTGACATTGGATTATTGACGTTGCTCTCATATACTATATATGTGCTTTCAAATTTAAATTTTTAATTTTATCTAATTTATGGTATACGTAGTGTTTAATAGGCAGCAAACATTCTCTCATTCTTGAGGAGATGTCAAGTACGATGTATACAAACACTATAAATAAACAATACAAGTCGAAGCGTCTTCGCTCGAAACGTCGAAGTTCTCCTTGTATTTTTCAGGTCAAGTTGTATCCCTATCAAATATCCGAAGCTTTCGTACATATTTCCCCCAGAATTGTTAGTTGTTTTCAATTAATTTTAGTGTAAAAAGTCTCAAATTTTCGACGAGAAATTCTAAATACTTTGTTTATATTTTGCAACAAAGTGCCGAGCATGCGCAGAACTCGCTTACTCAGGTTGGAAATCCAACGTGAATCAATTCGATTTCTCCAGAGCTATGCCCACCCCTAACCTGCGAACAGGCAAGCTCGGGGAACGAGATTGATTAGCTGAAGGCTTATCAGTGCTTCCACTTTGGAAAACCAAAATTTCTCAATTTTGTCTTTTAGATTTCCTTTTATTCGGACCATTCGAATTAACATTCTTAACTTGAGTTCACAATTAATGTTGCCTAGAAATCTACGTATTACTGACTAGAAATTTACCTATTACTCACTAGAAATTTACCTGACCTTTGAAAATTTGCAAAAAGGTCATGGAAGGAAATGCAAATTTCTAGTAAACTCAGACAACGCAATTAATTATAACTATAAAAATTTACTTGCAGATATTGGAACAATAGGGAGCCTGCTTAAAAACCGCTACTATTTCAAAGATTCTTTCGTTCTCGTGCTACGGTACATATCAAGATATTGAAATTTTAAAATACTGATATATCCGTATTTATCAAAATTTCAAGTTGTATTTCGAACAATTTCGTTTCACAAAGCATAATGACTGACTCTGATAGTCAATCTATATGTTCAGATTTAAATATATCAGAATCAGAGGGAAATACAACCGAAATGCAGAACCCAACCTCTCAGGTTGTTGAACACGACGGCGAACAGTCTACCAATGAAAGCAGATTTGAGCTGGAATCGCTGGACATTTTTTCACAGCATTCAAGTGATAAAGATGATAAAGATCAAGGTGAAAATAAAGATCAAAGCGAAGCTCCTTCAAACTTACGTAGACTTTTCGTCACGGAGAAAGGAAGTCTGAAATGGCGAAGCGATTATGAGGGCCTTTGTCATGTTGTTGAACAGCTACAACTACAGCCAGGGAAGTGGACTACACCGAGGGGACAGTGTAAACAATTTGAGAACAGCGATGTTGTAATATGCTGGTACATAAACTCTGGAACTTTAACGATAAAAGGGAATAAGGCAAAAGAAATTAAAGAAAAACTTTTATATTTCGACAGTAATTCGAGCGACAAAGTCATCACAGATTCGGTTAGTTCAAAGTACAGTAATTTGCATTCCACTCTCAAGTCACAAGATAGTAATTTACATATTAGTTCACGAAACAGTCTCCTGAATAATGAAACACTACGATCTAATATGTATAATCCCTCCGTTAATCCGAATGAAACAAATTACACACATAACTCGGAAATTCATGAAATTAAATCTAACATGGAGTGTTTTGCCAATTCTGTTAACCGAAAATTAGAGGTCATTAGCAATGAAATATCTAGCATCAAAGAGTTTAAAGCTTACTCTATACTGTCATCAGAAGAAGTCGTTAGTGATTTGAAAAAGGAAAAGCTGGTGCTGAGCAACAAGAATGATAAATTAGAAAAAGAAAATAAAGATTGATGTGTATCTTTGTCAGAGCTTCGAGCTAAGGTGATAGACCTTCAAGATGAAAAAGCAAGCCTACTAACCGCAATGAAGTTAATCCAACGGCAAGGAAAAGATGAACTAGAAGAAAATAAAAAAAGGATTGAAGCCCTGGAAAACGAGAATAATAACCTAAGAGATGAAAAGCTCGGATTCACCAGAGTGATGAAACGGAAAAAGACAATGGCTACCATTTCTTCTCCTGAAGCTACTAGCTCATTGAAAGTAAAAAATCAGTTTGAAGTTTTAAGCTCTGAACAGGAGGACGAGGAAGAAATTTACGAAACGAAGGTTAAATCATCGACTTTCTCACAGAAAGAAATTGCGGTTAATAACAATATAACCTTAAAAGATCCGCGCTCCCAGAATGAAAGTACTTCCTCTCAACCCGACTCATTATCAAATATTACCCCAACTCATCATACTACAGCCAAAAGTAGCAGCGACAGCCCGATCCTAATTATCGGCGATTCTATCATCAAACATATTGATCCTAAAAAGATCTCCCGAAAGAAAACTATTAAACGCACGTTTCCTGGCAAAACCGCAGAACAAATAAAATCTGAAGTGGAATCTGTGGAGGTTGAAGTACTTCCTTCACACATTATTGTACATGCTGGGACTAATGACCTTTCTGTGCAACCGCCGCATAATTGCGTTAAAAACATCGAGAATCTAGCTTTGTGTATAAAAAAGAAATTTACAGATTCAAGAATAGCAATATCCAGCATAACTGTCAGAAACGACTTGGATTTAAGCAAACAGATCTCCACTGCTAATGAAGAATTACAAAAAATGTGCTCTAGGAACGGGTTTGATTTTATTAAAAACAATAATATTGATGCTACATGCTTAAATGGCGGCCTGTTACACTTGAACTCAAAAGGATCCGCATTCTTGGCAACAAATTTTATTAAGTTCCCAAGGGGGAACATTCCAGCTGCATCAGAGTATCGCCAAAGGAAGAGAGGGGAGGATTTTCAAGGTCGCCGGACATATCAGAATCATTCACCAGAGGACCTACTGAGACTCCTATTACTCGCTCAGAGGACCGAGTATTAAGTAATGATTATAATCGGTGTGACCCTCCGACAGGTAAAATAGATGAATCTAATAATATATTTTCTGATTTAGATTGTTCTAAAGGCCTAAAAATGGCAAATTTAAATATTAATAGTCTTTTAAAAAGTATCGACCAGCTCCGTATCATTATGCAAAATAGCTCTATTGACATTCTGGCGATTAATGAAACAAAAATTGACCATTCAGTGTCTGATGATGAAATTAGTATACCTGGATATTATCATATCCGTAAAGATAGAAATAGGTATGGTGGGG